GAGCCCCAGTGCCCTCACAGGACTTCCCCATACTCACCTCAGTGCACTCAGGCCTGAAGAGCGTGGAAGTCCTTATCACCCATCAGTGCCTGCTTCTAAATACGTGAGTGAGAGGAGAGTGCTTTTCCACATATTAACATATGCTCTGCACACCAGGCTGTGCTTTGTAAACCAAAGCTGTGCCACACGCTGCTGCTCACCAAGGGAGTTACCACACGCAGACACGAAATGCTGTGCTGTGGTCTCCTAGGTGCTATGTGCATGTTCACCTCCCATGGTGTATCTCCACAGGCTAGCCCACTAAGTTTATGGGAAAGCAGGAGAGAAGCATAGGATTTCTGTGCTATGGCGTGCTACCTAGCAAGATTAAATGGGCAATGCTGCCTGTTGATACCCACTGCAGAAAGGCATGTCCACATCCCCACAAACATGTCACTGGCAGAGCTGCAGACAACAAAACGCCAGTCATAACTGCATCCCCAGCTGAGGCAGCTCTCTCTAGAAGGCCTCTGCCTTTTCTTAGCAGCTGTGTCTTGTGTCCCAGTTGTGGAAGAGGAGTCCTAAGAACCTTCCTCCATGGACAAGCATGGCTTTTCTGGAGGAATGACGCATTTGGTGCTCCTGCCAAAAGTGCTGATCAGTGACATGCAGGGGGAGTTCATGTGCAGCCAAAATGCAAGAGGATGCTTTCTTACTCCTAAGATGCTGCTCTGGGCTGTTGATGCCAGCCAAGAGAGCTGCATCAGTTGTGGTCCCTTTTCAAGCTGCTCTTCAAAACAAAAAGCCACCCTCAATACATGCAAATGTATTCTGTCCCCATGCCTTGTGTTTCCCATCAGTCAAGCTCCTCTGGGAGTCTACAGCTGACTGTAGGAAGTACTACATGCAGGGGCTGAGGCAGAATTAGGGCCAGTAGATCTTTGTCACTTTCCATTTTAAAGACAGCTTTTAGAGAATAAGATGTTGATTTCAGTTTTATGATTCAGAGGCATGTTGTCTTTAATTTGATCTTGTGCCCAACCACCCAAAGGATCTACAGACTGACTCTGCTCAGCAACTGCTGTACACAAATGGTGACAAAATCACTTGTGCCAAACAAGCAAGCCTAAACAACTACAGATACAATGCCACACACCAGTGCCATTTTCATGACCACAGGCTCAGCTTTTTCAGAGGACCATCCCAGACAAAAAGCTTTTAAAGCTTTGCAAAAGCTTGGGACCAGGTAGGGTTATTTTGATCCACTGGGAAGTCTTACAGCCTTCAATGACAGTGCTCTTCAAGTGGCTTTCATCTTTTGCATCAGGAAGAGTTCAGCTCAAGCCTTCCTGTCTCACCATAACCAACTCTCAGGGTAACAGCTCTAGCAGCTTCTGAGTGTTTTGGACCTCGTGCCTCTGCTGGTGACCAATACAGCATCCATCCAGTCCTGTGTGCACATTTGCTGCATGAGTTGTGCTGTGTTGTGTTCTGCACCACCAGTGGTCTTTGCAGCAGACATCACCAAATACAACATGCTGCAGTGTTAAAAATCAGAGGCATAAAATAGGCATAGGTGATTAAAGCTTTACCATATATAGCCTTACCATACATAGCCCATCTTGAGACTGAGCATCATGCTGAAGCCCATCTCTAATGGCTAGCACCCTCATTCTTAAGATGACAACACTGTTATGCTAAAAAAGGTGTGCTTTAAGCTAAGGATTGGACTTGAGTTACACTTTAAGCTAATATCACATGTCCTCAACACCCTCCAGTGGGGAGGACAACTGTGTTACACTGAGTGGGGGAGTCAGCTACTGCTCCTCATCACAACCCAAGCGTTTTATCAGATGTTGAGAGGTTACAGGTCCTTTAGGATGAACCCATGTCTCCATTGGGCAAAATGCAGGAAGTAATGTTTGCAGGCCTAACTCTCCTGGTCTGAAGCCAGGAAAACAGCTTCAGAAAGTCAGTCACTGCATGTCCTACAAAATGTACGCAGGGCATGGGCCCACAGAGACCACAGCAAGGCCACAGCTTTGAGTTCAGCCCTCATAGCAAGCTGAACATGTTGAAGAATCATCTGAATCGTAACAGAAGCAATGGCAAAACAGGACCCTCTGTCTTTGAATCTAGGAATCCTGAAGCTATGGAGCAATGAAGCCTGCATGGCTAAGGCAGATGGCATTAAAGCTCGCCTTACAATGACACTCCTTGTACCTAATATATAAATGTATGGCTACATAAAATAAAACTGGCTGGAAGAGACCTCTGGGGCTCAACAAATACAACCTCCAGCCCACAGCAAGGCCAACTAACTGAGGTTGCTCCAAGATGGGAAGATCTCAAAGGCTGGAGGTCTGGGCTCCATCCCAGACAGTAAGAATCCAGAGGAAAAAAGGCCCCTCTGGCCTTCTGGCAATGCCCTGTCCTGCAACATGTGCTTGTTGCCTTTGGGGCTGTCCCTGTGCCCTTCTGAGCAGGGTCTACTTCCATCATCTCCATGCCCTCCATCCTGGGAGCTGACTGCAGCTAAAAGAGCTCCCCAATGCTTTCTTATCCCTAGGCTGAAGCAAGGCACTAATCACTGTGAACGTAGGTGATTGAAGACTACTTGTGGTTAACAGAAAGGTCTGGAGGGGGTCAGATGAACAAGGACATGCTGAGGATCTCTATAGCCTAATCACTTAATCAGTAATTTGTAGTAATTTATTTAGATGATAATACTCACTCACTAAGCAATAAGTCAGTTGTCCCTGGTGTGAAGCCCACCAGGAGCAGTCAACCATAAAAACTCTTCTTCTGGAGGCCCTTGCAGACTGAAGGATCTTACTGCCTGAAGGAATGTAGAACTCATTCTGAGATGCCCCAAGAGCACATGGGAATTCTGTGAAATTTATGGGGTACTTTTAAGGGGATTGATGGAAAACATCTAACATTATCTAAGGCTTAGGGAATGGACCAAAGGAGGGGAAAAAGAAGGATCAAGATGATCCATTCCTGAGGATTTCTCCTCAGGGAGGAAAAAACATGGGGAAGTAGAGGAAAAAGTGGATAAAAAGGGCTGGTTATAAACAGGTTGCTAGTCAGTGTACTTCTCTGATGGAGCCCTTCATCACTACTGTGTGCCCCAACCTCTCATTAGTTCCTAATTTATGAGTACAGTCTCTACTCTTAGTTGGTATGTGTGAACACCAGTGCGCTTCAAGCTGGACTCACCAGTAAGGTAAGAGGGCTGCATACCAGCAACAGGACCATGGCTGCAAACCATGGCTTACCATGGGGAGACCCAGGGAAAACTTGGTGGTTTTTTTTTCTATGGAGCAGATATACAGGTATGTACTATCTGAATATTTTTTGTTTGTTTTTCTTAAAACTGAATTCATTCACAAGGGTCTCTTCTTAGCTCAAACTTCATCACACTCTGGATCTTTAGGATCTTACCAGACTGATGGTACAAGCTTTGAGTGGCAGTGAGCTGCATTGACCGATGGTGATCTAGGAAAAATCTAGCAGATATAATATAGACCACTGTAGCTGTGTGAACCTGGCTCTGACCAGCAGCAAAGAAGTTGCATGGAAAAATAAACCATTTGTCAAAACCTTAGCCAAGCAAGAGGAGCACACAATATCACTGCTCAGAACGTATTTAAGGAGGTGCCTGTGCTGTGCACAGGGTACTCCTGGGGAAGCTGCAGCCCAGGCTAATATTGGAACAGCAGCTACAAAGGACTTGAACAGAAGAAACTGGTATGTTAATAACAGCAGAAATCATCACATGTATCATTCCTGCTTTTCATACCACTTGTTTCCTTGTCTGATGGTTTGGGATACCCAAACATGACAAGGAAAATTGGGATGAGGAGGCAAGGGGAACAGCTAACTAGTGAGATTAGAATTTGCATTCAGGCATTTGCTTTTTCTGTACATTCAGATCAATTGCCAAGATTTTGGGTTGATTTAAAGTAAAATTATCTTTACATAATTCCCCAGTTCAAGTCTGTTTGCCTCTGGCAAGAACCAGCGCATTTCTTCACTGTCTCAGCCTTGCACTGCCATAGACCAAAAGCTGATAAATTAAAACAGTATTTAATTTGTCTATACCCAAAGATAAAGGTGAAAAGGAATAAAAATGGTAATTCTGAAGTTGAAAGCACCATGCTTTCTTGAGGTATCACCCATGTGTAACTCAAGACAGAGATGCAGTCTAAGTTCCTCCTTCCCTTCCTGGTCTTGAAGACCTAAAAGTTTTTCCAAGCATAGATTCAATCTGGACATCTTTCAACTTCAGAGAAGAAAGGGGACACTATGATTATTTAACTAAGTAACATAAAGAAATGCAACCTTAATACACAACAGTTTAGATTCCACTATTTGATAAAACGTCCAAGAGATAAACTAGAAGCAAAAAATATCAGAAAGAAGGAATAAAAGATCTTGTGGATGTCAACTCCCACTACTTTAGGATTCTGTACCCCAGAGCAACTTCCCCTCCACCCTTTGTTTCTCTTTTTTATCACCCTTTCCCTCTGAGTTGAATCTTTTGTAAAGATATTTTGTATGAATATTAGGGAGGATTGCTTAGGAATTAGCCAAGTAAGCAGAGATTATGTCAATAATCCCCATATGGTTGCTAGCCAACAGATAACCAGAAAAATACCGAGAATGATGAAAATGGTAAATGTGTACAACACTCACAAATAAAAACTGTTTTAAGTATTCCACAATTTGCAATAAAAAAACATTTTATTAAAAGTATTTAATTTTCAAACTCCCAACTGGTCACAGTGAATGACATTAAGATCCTTCAGTCTCTTCTCCAGGCAAACAGCAGTACGTGGCCAGAGTACTGAAAATTCTGTTGTTTTACAGTTGAAAAAAGTTTCATTTTTAGAGATTAAGATGGCTCATTATTAATGTATATAAACTAAAGGCCTACTTTTTGAGATTTGCACTACTTGAAACATGAGATGAAAAGTTTATCAGTGATCCTAATAAATGCATTGCTGGCTACATAGGGCTTAAAAGCTTTTTATTTTTAGATTTATAACAGAAGTTAAACTTCCCTGTGCGCCTTTCTTCTGCTGCATCTCTAATACATTTAGATTAAATCCTACTGTCTGCTAACATGGACAAAAATATGAGGAAAGAAGAAAAACCCACATAAAGAATACTGACAGGATAGTCATCAATGTTTATCCCCTTGACAGAAACAAAGAAAACATTGTTAGGAATTAATTATAGCACACTCAAATTAGGTGGCCAGACAGGCCACTAAGAGGGAAGGTGATGCAAACACACCTTTTATTCTGCTGGTAACTTAGCCATTAAACTATTTTGTGCTCATGGGTCATAACTCTCTACCCTAGCATGGAAAACATGGCCAAATGTTCAGCACCGCTGCCATGAAACTGGTTAAACATTAGACATTAATAAAAAGAAACGCAACATTTTAGCAGTGGATAGACTCCATGAAAGAATCATTGCTTTGTTAGCCCGTTAGTCCTTCCTATCCAGTAACTGAAGTCACTGGATAGGCAGATTGAAATACATCGCAGACAATGGTTGCACTCATCTTACAAAGAAAATACAGCCTTTAAATAAAAATGCTGCATATGCAAAACAAAAAATATTCCATTTTACCTGGAATACTTGTACAATAATTTAATAACAATTTCAATGCACATGCTAGAAACAAAACAAACAAAAATCTCCCAAGGCTAATGAATGCAAAGTCTTGTGAACATCACCAAGAAATCCTCTTGGGTATTTTTAAGAATCTGTCATCTAAGAAGGTAAAAAAAGATTGTATGTGCAAAAGATTTTTTTCAGTGCCTGTGGTCTTTACTCAGATTAAGAGGTACATTTTGAAATTTTAATCATATAATATTGCCATTCTGTGATTTGGGAAGTGCTATAATGACAGCTATAGAACAAAAGTTATTCATGAAAAAACAGTTTATTTAAATTAAACATTTTTAAAGCAAACTCAAGATTTAAAACAGCACAGGCCCTTCAAATCCTGACTTTGACTAAATTAAACTAGGTTAATCTTCAAATCTTGCACAAAAATTTAAAGCCATTATTATCCTTCTTCCATGTCGGTGTCGCACCGGACATTGCAATCCAGATCTGCACACTGCACACTTCTTTCAATCTTGCACTTTGCGAGAATGGTTGTGATCCATGGCTGTGAAGAACAGGCAGATCGCGGCTGTGATGAACACATGCACTCCCTCATAAAGTAATTTTGGCGAGAAGACGCTCCATATGAACAGGTGGTAACGCAGACCTGTCACCAAAACTATGTATATGGCAACTGGAAGGGAACGCATTAGAGCATAGCAGAAACAGCCATGACCCACTGCTGCTGAATTCCTGGTAACAGAAACAGAGGAGTTCGTTCTCAGGCAAACTTAGTAAAGACTTAACAGTTTCTCTACTTTAGCATTATTTCCCAACCAAAGAACACTCACAGATCTCCACTTTGTGTCAGGATACTGATTACTGATGGAACGATGTAACTAATAAAGTTTGTCCTTATCGTCTCTATATATCCTGTAACACGTAAGTACATTAAGTGTAAGCATAGCAACTGCCTCCGCATTAAAGGCACCCAGTAGTTCACCTCACACTTAGAAGGTTCTGTGCTTTAATATACTTTGTTTTAATTGCTAAAGTCTCCATTAAGCAGTTTCAAGATAGCTTCATCTCTTGTTGGCCTTCCAGTGCTTTTCACAGTGTGTGGATGGTAAGAGGCAGAGAAGAAAGACTTCAGTACTCTTCACAAAGCTGCCTAACCTGTACAATGGATAACTGCTCCCCTTGTACAGGGCATAAAATTTCTTAGAGTACACTGAAGCCCCCAGCCAGTAACACTGTACAAAGCAATATAACAACTGCTATTACCATACTTTGCAAAGCTAGCTAATATAACATTCTCCAGAGAACACCACATTCTTAGGCTTACATGAGTGATGCATTCCTGTCACAGCAGATTAGCTCAACTGGGTCCATTGTATTGCTAGAAATGTCTGTCCCATATGTAACCTACATGGTCCAAACCTGTCACACTAAGGTATTTGGTGACAGGAGTCAGATGGAAATTAAGTGAAAGGGTTTTCTGCACTTTGATTGTTGCTCCCTCCCAAAGTGCCAACTCACAGCAATGATGCTGGGTTGGCACATGTCCATTCTCCCCAGACCACATCTGCAGAGACTAATTTGCACCAAATTCAGATGCTTACCTGTTCAGAGAGAAGAATAAAGCTTTTTCACTGAAATAATAAGCCAAACATTTTTCTCTCCCCATCAATGTATTTTACATCATCAGTCCCAAAAGAACATATCAGCTGAAGGCAGAAATGATTTACACTGACATCCTGATCCGAAAATCTGTTCTGCTTCTCCCAGATTTTAATTCTGATCTTGCTCCAAGTAATAAAAATTTAAGATGATTAGCACTTCTGTGAGATGTGAATTAGTCACAACTAAGTAAGCCACAGAATGCAGTATTTTACCTAGTAAAACTATTAAACTTGTTATTTATAAATCAAAATACTTGGGATGCAGTTCTTTATTCTAGCAAAGTCAAGAGCAAAATTCCCAAGCCTTTCAGTGGAAAGAAAAACAGGTCATGAAAGTGGAGCTAAAAAATCAGTTAAAAACAGTTAGTGTGAATGATTGCAAAACATATATTCATTTCATAGAAAACTATTTCCCTAGCTGCTTAGCCAAGGAAACTGTGGCTTGGGAGTGAACTAGGTTGCTCCCTGCTTCTGCATAACTATTTTATTCTTCAGTGAGCTTGTGTAAATAACCAGCTTTATGTTTAATAACCGATTTTGTTGATGAGGATTAAACAAACTGCAGTTCACTCATTCTTAGCTGTTTTCATGCTGTATGAGTAAAATAGTATTTGTAGTAGTTGGATGATACAACTGAATAAACAGAGGAAATGGGTTCTGAGTCAGATAGGCAAACAGGTGATTTTTAAATCATTTTCTGGAGTAAAAAAAAAAAGCATTTTGTTGACCAGCTAGATGCAGGCTATCAGTGGTAGTGACTTTCACATTTATTAAGCTCATGATGGGATTTTTAAGGGAATCCTAAAAGAAGGAAGTGAGAGTACCCATGAACTTATACATCCAGGTCTTTCAAGAGCCCTGCATTTTAAATTTAAATTTCAGTTCATATCTTTTTCCTTAGTTTGTGTTCACCTAATAACATATTCAGTGCCCTATTGTGAGAAAGCTCCTAGTCTTAAATCAGTGGTGTTGAAAGTGAAAAAAAGAAAAAGAAAAAGAAAAGTACTTTTTTAATTATGAAGAAATTAAATCGAAAGATCATTATATTGGAGTATTATTGGAATATCACTGGAAGATAATAATGAAAGATTGTTTTGAATAGAATTTCTGTGCACTCATTTCTTTGGCTCAAAAATTAGATAGATACGGTATTTTACCTACTAGCATTTTAAACTGGAATGACAGCACAGAGTAATCTTTACTAGCAACATTTAAATTCTGCATTTTCACATTATGATTTCTAGCAAAGAATCCCCAAGTCAGTAAGTAAATGGTACAATTTCTATATTCTGATAAAGATAATGAATGCTGTTCTGCTTATATAATACCTTTACTTCCAAAAGGTCTCAGAACTCTCTTCATCTCTCAAAAAAACATAGACACCTACCTGCAGAAGGAAATCTTGGGACAGTTCCACTGTAAAATGTAGCAGTGCAATTTAGAGAAGGCAACAAAAGTATACTGTATTCACAAAGTTGAACTGTTAATGGGGTTAACAGAATAATCCCATTTATTTCGGAGCTGGTATAGGACTTCACATGTGTGTTGCTGCAGCAACAGCACCAGAATGACTGAGCCCAAGCAGTTTGACCTACTCAGATGTTCTGATGCTAAGGCACAGCCCATGCCTTCTTGCTTCTGCCAGGTACCCATTTGCTGAATAGCTAAGAATAATGACTTTATGCACCCTACTCATTCTACACACACAGAGTGCCCACAAGGTACAGGGCATAAGGTACAGGGCATAGGGATCAGGCTGCTGCCGCTAGCATGACCAAGGCAATCCAGGCAGCTCAGCTGGCTCTCGAGTATTCCAAAAGAAGCCACGAGGAGAGCACAGAAAGCTAGCTGTAGCATGCCACTTGTACCCTACTTTTTATGGGCTGGAGCAGCCAGTAATGAATAACCTTGCAACCTCTCAGTGCTGCTTCAGTGAAAACAACAGAAGATTACAAGGCACATCTAAAGCATAAACCTGTAACTACTCCATACAGAGCTGTCTCTGCAGCAGTCAATCCCTTTTCTTGTTCAAAGGAGAAGAACATAGAGGGATGTAAACTGTACACATTATCACCATGTTCTGACAGAACCAGACTGCCTAATGCAGGAGTTGAAAAAAAAACAAGTACCTAGCCTCTGATATTGAGCTCACTTAGCTAGTTAGCTTCTTCGGACTTGAATGAGAAATCCAAATGTGTTAAAGATGACAAAGCATATCCAAACTTCAGATGAGACTGATGCTGAAGATCGCTAGGTCCAGAAAAGACAATGCCTTAGAAGAATTCTGAAGCAAAGAACACTGAAGATTCACATCACTGAACACACTATATTTAGACTGCAAGTAGTCTAGAGCACATACTGGCTTCCAACAAAAATCCTCTCTTTTAATTGAATATTTAATACCTAGAAAAATATGGCCAAGAAAGTGTGCTATTAATAGATTTTTCTGCTGCTTTGCATCTCCTAGATCTAACTGCCAATGGTTTGTCAACAAATCTTTCACCTCCCTATCTGTCTCTAAGGTGCCATTAAAATGGGTAATACAAGGTTTATAAGATGAAAAAACTATGATGCCAAAAGCATGAAAGAAAAAACACTCTTTTCTTGTAAAAGCATGTCTCCCAGTTACGTAGAATGCTTGGCAGATGGTGGCAAAAGTTTTGTAGTTTAAAAATAAAGCAAAAACCCTTTGCAGGCAGCCCTACAAATGCTTCCACAAGGAATTTTAAAATACACTATTTTACATTGTTCCAACATTTGTTCTAATCCACCATATTAAATAAACATTTTAGAAATATGCAAGCAGATGAGTGAAGAATACCCTAGGATTGTAATTTTTCTGGGACTAGGGGAGGGAGGGCCAAGTCTGTAGGGTTTCAGTATGAAGTATGCTGAATCCTTTCAGTAAATGTTATCCTCCAGCATTTCTATCCTTCCAGCTTGCTTTTTCTAGCTGAGTATCACTGCGTAGATTACCTCTTACAGGGATATTGAATTTGTGTATTTGAAGGCAATTTGAGTGGATTAACATTTTTTACTGTATTAATGGCATTTTGCATTCTAGGGTTTCTTGGCCTTCAGTTTGCAAAATCTTCTTGTTTACTGACCTATAAAAATAATTGGCGCTTTGTTAATCTGCCCTGTTTATATGCTAATAAGGGGTTGCAGTCAGCAACAAATCCTGTAACACTCCAACTGCGTCTGTGACATCCTAGAGTACCTGCAATCTACAAGAATTTCCCCTGATCTAAACAAATACCAATTAGTTTAGCAGCAACAGCAAACTTGCTACGTCTCTCCCACATCCTGTATTCTCACCTATTCTCACAGTCCTTGCTGTGCTATTTTAGATTGTAGCATACAATCCTGCATTGTCATGGAAAAACACTTTTTAGCAATTTTTAGCAGATTCAAGGGAACCAAGAGTCCTTTGAAAATTTACAAGATCAACTCTGTTACAGGCTGTCAATCAGAACAACATTAATTCTATAGAGTCACAATTTTTGACACCAAACGGTATCAACAGACAGATGTCAAAAAGAGTAGATGGCACCCATCTAAAAGAGTCATTGAGTACATTCTACAGCTTGGGGATGACCACTGTTTTTCCCATGCATCCTCTTTCCCAGTAATAAAGGTGGAGAAGCTACAACTACCTACCTGAGCAAAGACAAATGTCCATGGCAGTAAGTTACAGCACACTGTACTATGTCTGGAAGGCAGTGTAGAGTTCAGCAGGTTCTCATAAAGATTTAACTGTAAAAGGCTATTACACCCGAATCTTAAATATTCTTCATTTCAGCATTAACAGCAGGAAAAATAAGATTATATCAACAGTTTTGCCTGTTTTCATTGCTGACATAATCATTTGTGCCGGGAGTTTCCTGTCAGGAAAAGAAGTAGCTACAGTCACCCAGCAGAGCTAACTCTTTTTGCTGGCATGTACTACCAGCTAACCTGTTAGAACAGAGCTCTATCTAAAATACAGAGCACATATCAATGAAATTTCAGCCTTCTTTTTCCAGTCTTCAGTCAGGCTTGGCCCCTGAAAACAGTTCCAGTGGAACTCCC